TTCACACCTCTGCAGTGGATGTGTACTGGTGAATAGTACAAAACAGGGCTGGTGATATATCTGTCCGCAGTCATTGTTGGTTCTGCAGTGCTTCTCTAACTGATGTGAACTCAAATTCACTCCTGCAACTTTCACAATACACTGTGAAAAAATCCATTACCAAACATTCCTATTATTAATGCTCAATTTGTCTCCCCTTATCAACTGATGCAGATTTCCTGAACAAATTTATGAACAGTGAGCATCAATGTTTTATTACGTGATTTTTGATAGTTTACATCTTTGAATTTGAATATGTGGCCTGTAGAAGAGAGGGTGTCCACACACATGTAGACACGCGATGCATATCACGACAACGCCGGTCATCTGAACAAGTGTTCGATTGACCATTCAACACGTCATCAAAGATAATATCAGTACTGATACTCAATCAGCACTTTCCAATTCAACATCACTCACTGCGATCACTCAGCACCATAACGACTGTGAATCTTCTTGTAAATACAGCATACTTCGACTCAGAATGTTTGCTTGATCATCTTTTCCTGATAGAAAAGAAACGCGGCAGCCTGAAGCAAACGTCAGCAGAATTCATCTCACACTATCATATTGTATCGCTTGTTGTCGAGATGAAATGCTGTCAATAGAAGGCGTAGAACCATTCAGTGATTCGTTTCCATTATCGGAGAGAAACACCATGTGTAGTGCAGAGACGTGATACTCAATGAGTTGACGAATGCATGAATGAATGAATGAATGAATGAATGAATGAATGATTGAATCGAGGAATAATGCACCTTGATAGAAATTCGAAATATATGAGGTACATCAACCAGGTAGTTAGAAAAGCTTGAGAGTGACAAGAAGCGATAGGGAAATATCTCAACTGTGGTTGTTAGGATCTACTGTAACACTGTGGCGTGCACCAAATATTCATCAAGCTCATTCAACAGCTAGTCATGTGACAGGGGTATATATCAAATGATCTACAACGGAAAACTGGGTGAGGCGTCTGAAGTGAAGACAGCAGTGGGCCATTGGTGCCTGCCCACCATCACCGGTGACATTGCTGATTGCATCGGAGTCGATTGAGCATCCGATTTCATGGAGTGAGAAGGCAGTGATATGCTAGACCACCGATAAGAAGACTCAAGAAGATGCGTACTTCGCGGATGATTTATGCCCAATGTGATAGTAAATCCGAAGACTTACAGGCGAATGTCGACAAACTGGCAGAAGAGAAAGGGAGGCATGGACAGGACTTTACCGGGACCAACAGGCACCAGTCACCATCAGCCAGAGTAATTTGGCAGGATTTACTCGCTTCACTCATATAGGAGGCGTCACTCGAACTGCAGGCAGACAGAATGCATGAAGATGTGAATAGGAAGGGCAAGACAATCCTCCGTTACTCTGGAATCAGTTTGCGAATCTCCTGCACTCACCTGGCACAAGGAACAAGTTGCAGACCCTCAACACGAATGTGTAGTCTGTCAATTCTTCTACATGGATCAGAGACTTTCAGCCTGAGTCACACAGACCATTTCCAATAGACTACTTCTGACCTTTATCAACAGCTGTCCTCTTCACTGGCTCCGTTCCGAAGACTATACGGCCAGCCTGAACGAATTAGTAGCAAGAAACCATGAGAGGAAACCCACAAGTGAGAACTTATTTCTCAACAAATATTTCAAAGGGGATGGAGATGGATCAGACACACTCTGGGAAGACTGTCGAATGACATCGCGTGGCAAGCCAAGACTCACTTGGAACTCGAATTGGAAACGATGAATGGAGAGTGATTCTGAGGGTGACATGAAGCAGGGGCCGTGCGAGGAGGGGATTAGAGACTATTAAAAATTTTGGACCGGATGAAGAGGAACACAGAATATAGGACAGAATGTGGGTGTGCTGCTGAAGCCATTCGTTTCACTCGGAAGCCTAGAGAGCCATAGTAAACGCAATAATATAACAGCTTGCAAAGATAATGCTGTCTGCATTCAGGAATTCGACAGCATTAGGTGTGGAGAGAAATAAACAGACTTGAGGTTGAATCTAGTATTCGCCAACAGAAGCGTGTATCATCCAACTTCAAAGTGAGTAGAAACCGATCGAATTCAGACACTCTTCACTGTATTCAAGCAACCGAAGAGAAGGATTTGATATTATGATGTGGGATAGTCAAACCACCTATATGTGGCAAGACAACTGATAGACTCGGTGGAAGGCGAAGCACCTAAATCAATGTCAAATATCCAGGCGAAATGGAACACGTGGGTTGAGGAAAAGACTTAGGAAAATGCCGTGAAAATACTACATTATTGAGTGTAGGTTTGCAAATATTTGATTGAAACCATCACATTTACATATAGCTATTTCGTTTGTGAGTACAATAGCATTCTGAAACAAAAGTAGAGTTAAAGTTAGCTAGGTTTACTGTTCACGCCATCGTAATGTTTCTTAATTGTGACGAATAATGAGAATTGTAACTAGAGTGCTGACGATTTGTAATTGTTTACAAGGGTTTCGTAATATGAAATAGGAAGTGAGTGGAGACAATTGTCCAAAAAATACATAATGTAATGGGTGAAAGGAGAAAATAAAGATTAGTCGAGAAGAAGATGTTACTAAGATGCAATACAAAAAGGAAAACAAAACAAAGCCGTCGAACTTGGAATCATACTCAAAGTGAAGGAGAATTGTGGAGTCGTTTCTTCTCTGTGCATAAGTCAATGTTTTCTATCCTGATTGCTTAAGCCTCAGCAATGCAAAGTGAACAGAAGCTTCATTTACTCTTTCTACCCATTACATAATGTATTTTTTGAACATGTGTCTCCTTTAACATCCTACTTCATATTATGAAACCCTAGTCAACAATTACAAATCGTCACCACTCTAGTTACAATTCTGATTATTCGTCACAGTCAGGAAACATTTGGATGACGTGAACAGTAGCCCCAAATAATTTTCACTATATTTTGGTTCGACAATCCTTATGTTCTCACACACAAAATAGTTATATGTTAGTGCGATTGTACAGCCAAGTGAATGAATTCGTCGAAAAGAGACTCTACATTGAACTTCGTTGTTGTTATACTTCCAAGTAAGTCGAGAAGTTAGTCACCTAAGTCTTCCTTATTAAAATAAATAATTTTGTCTGCTTCTTCCCACTATCAGAATTCGGAGACGACTTGTCAGGCCTTGCAAGTGAGTGTGAATCATAACTTCTCTCATGATAGCTACCTTCAACCATGTGAATCAGTATATTGACATCAACACTAAATCATTTCCTCATATTTGGCCAATAATTTCGTGGAATTAAGAAAACAAGGGTCACTTGCATCTTCCTCCTTTACTCCTTGTCAAAACCACTCCCTTATTTTCCATGGTTTTGTGAAATTTCATAAGATGCAGACGGCGCGTATGCTTTCGCACAGTCGAAAACCACACTCACAATCATATTGTTGACTGGATAATGCCGCAGACGGTGTGTCCACAAATACAGAAATACGTTGTACCGATAAAAAGACGGTAGAAGATCTGGACTTCGTGGACGACTAACTTTTAGTGTTCTATGGACTCAAGGACTTCCAATTGTAAGCCAACAATTTGTAAGAAGAAGCAGGAAATACAGCACTTCCAGTGTAGATCCAGGTGGTGAAGGTAACTGAACAACAGGGAATTCTCTTCCGTTGCTTATTCAGGGCAGTGTCGCTTCAACTCTAGGCAGAACAAATGAATATGTGAAGGGCAGGACCAAAAAAGCTAGACAGATTTTCAGATTTCTTTCTGAAATCAGTGTGGAAAGCCACTGTACTCAGAATAAGGAAAAACGATTCAGATTTTCAACACTGATATCCAATCATCGCGTAATTCTGGTTGAGAGACTTAGCATATGTACCAACAGAAGCCGAATTCAGAGATTTCTTGGCTGCTGCCTTTACTGGACACTGATGATATCAGGGTTAAAAAAGGTGAGAAACATGAGAATCTGCCTACACAGTTTGATTGGATCGATGTGTGCGTTCTTGTGACAAATGACAATGGACGGGCAGTTCGATTCACCAGTCAGGAGCGTTTTCACAGTCGAAGAAGTGGACAACCAGAAATGAATATTTTGAGTCGTCTACAGTTTCAGAAAATTTATTCAGCTCTACAGGCTCCATTACGATCAACTCTCCACTGTCCATGGAAAGTGTAGTCTATATTCACATGCATTCTCCTCACAGGTTTGTGTTATCGAACGACATCTCATAAATCACTGCAAGACTATTCAAACCTTCACCAGTTGACGTCGTACATAAACTTAGCTCTTTGTCAGCCGAAAGACTCAACAGGATAGGGAGATAAAATCAACGTCACCCACACAATAAATTTAAACAACCGCTAAAAACACTGCATTGACCAAAGTGGACGTCCCTTTCGTCTTCATATTCATGAACATAAACTAGTCGCTGCATACAGACAAACACAGACATCAATTTGACTGAGACGAAGTTCAAATATTAGACAGACGAAGCACCAAGAATGCTGCAGAATTATTAGGAGCCTGCTTTTCCAGCGAATCGTCAATGAAATAACACAAACAATACGGAGGAAATATCACGCACAAAGGATGAAACTTCAGGTCAAGCAAACAATCAGTACAAATGCAAGTAGCCTGGAGGGCGGTAAAACACACAAATCAACCAATCACATTGAAGGTGACCAGGAGAGGTGACTGAAAATCTCATGGAGGAATCTGAAGCTCAATTGTAATTGAAGTACGCGTTGAAGATGTTGCCTGGTGTGGCAGTGAAAGCTTTGCAAATAAATCATCCAACTCAGATAACAAAACCACATCAAAATCATCAACCTGAGCTGGACATCGTCTACATCATATTTCCACACCTATAAATAAAATCTGTACCGTAAAGGAATCTCACTATTTACTATTCATGATTAATTTGTGTTCATGTTTGAATATTCGTGTATTGCTAACCCGATTTCGCACACTACAGGACATCCGAAAACAACAGAACCGTCAGTGGTGACTTGTAAGTTGAACTGCAAGTTTAACAACACCCTATTCCGACTAACAAATAAGCTTTCTACTCATGTGACACGCTCCTTGTAATTGTTGTCAGTGACCTGCCATCAGCTTGAGCTTTCATTCACCTACGTACTTTCAGACTCCACTACAGGTGCAAGAAATCAATAGTGGATACGTGGGTTTCTGATGAATCTACAGCAAACGATCTGTTCATATGTAGCGACAGAAGGAGTTGTAAGATTCAATCTACATTCTGAGGTTTGAAATGTCACAATCAATACTGACAACGTGGATTGTGAGGCTTGCTCTCGTCTGTGAGTAAGTATTCTTTCTACTTGAAACACAGCCGAAGAATGTGAGATCATCATAATGATAATGACACCTGTCCCCCGTAGAAAAGCTTTGCACGATATGCAGAGTACACGGCATATTTTATTGTACTACAGGTTTTCTCCATTCATTGGTCTTCCATATGAAGTAGAGACCAGTCGCAATTGTAAATATTTGAAGGGCTGAAATAATTTGAGTCGAAGAGAATGTGTTCAATCGTGTTGGTTGCAAATTCAGGTGGGACGATTATTCAAGCTGGCCAACTAGGGGTGGAGCCGGATGGATATGTCAAATGCACAAGCATACTCAAACTGCATCACTGAGAGATCGTCATACTCGCCAGACAAGACAAAGCATGAAGTCACATCACATTTGCATGTACTTGTAGAATCATGCACGATCTTGTGATTGTGGCAGAGAATGCTTGCAATTTGATATCCTTTTATTTTTGATCTACCTCCATTTTCTCGTAAATATTTCAGCACCTGGCTCTTGGTTATTTCGTTCTCAGCATTTTCTTTCGACTAATCCTTTCTTGCGATTCAATTTTCAATAAGAATCGGAGGCATCTGTTGACACACTTGTGTCGTCTGTTGGTAATGCTTTAGGTTACCGGCCAAGTTTTGACTCTTTTCGGAGCACCGACTCCCCACTTGTAGTGAAAATCAGAATCCTGTTGTGTAAACTGACTGATTGCAGAAGAATTTCGTGCTGGCTTCAGGTTGATGAAGGCCTATCTTGCATTGCCGATTCTGGCTGCTTTTGTCGGACTCACCCGTTATGCCTGTGGTTGGAACGACACTCGCTGTCAGATGTCACTCGTTGACGGTGTTCCGTGCTGGTTGTTGTTGCTTTTGTGGGTCAGTTATCTTCGTCATTTTTGTTTTCTCTATTTTCACTTGAAATCCTGTCTTCGTTGCAAGTCGTCAAGTTTGTGAGGCATTGGATATAAACCACCAGCGAAATTCAGATCTTCCAGAGACTTCTTGTCACCTCAGCGTATTTCTGTCTCCCCCTCCGCCAATCACAGTCTGACGCATATTCAAGTCCAACATTGATAAAAATATCATCGTTGAGCATAAACAGTTTTGTTTTGTCTTGCTCCTGTAGTCGCTTCGAACGTCTCGCTGTGTTTCCCGTTGTGGATCACCTGACAAGTACCACTGTCATATGGTCATCTGTTGAATGGGGTCGATGAAGAATCAGCCACTAGAGGCTTGTGAGGAGATGACGCAGAGTTAAAATTACTTTACGTGAATGAACTTCAATTTCGAAGTCAATGAAATTAACGTTCGGATTCGACTGCCGAATAGAGTAACTCTTCGCTGAAAGCCTTTTCTTTTCTATTCTACGAATTGTTTGATGACAACGCGTGCAGTTGCTATGTGAGGAATTCCATCCGGTCACGCCGCCTTCTCAACTGAACTTTTGTAGCTTGATCGCATTCAAGGTTTCTAATTTCGTTGAAGGATTGATATCTATTGGTCGGCAGTTATGGGCGTGGTATTGGTGGTACCTCTGGGCGAGTTGCAGGTGATGGTCGACTCAAAAGTCCTTCACAGTGATCAGACCATTGTTTTATTTGCTTCATCTGCTTTATAATTGACTGCTTCTTTGCATCTTTTACCGGTTTCATTACCTGTATTAATCTCTTTCTGGATAGAGACTCGGTTATCTGATACAGTGTCCTGAGGTCTGTTCAACCTGCGGTCTGCCTGTTCTGCTTTAGTTGATAGTGTGTTAGCGAATTGTCGTTTTCTTCTCTAGCAATCTGACAGGCGAAGTCCACGTTGCTCTGTGTATATCCTTGTGCTTGTACACACCGCATCCGATCATCAAATCTCTGAAAGCGCAAAAGCCTGCGAATAATTCTCCGTTCTCATTCATTTCTCCGAGCTATTTTCTCTCGACCCATGATTGACTTCTCTTCCTGTATTATCTCTTTCTACCTAGACTGACGTTAATATCGCCCATTGTGATTTCGACGTACACATTCAGGATGTTGTCCGTGACTATTTGTAGTTGTCTATACAAATCCTCCTTCATCTCTTGTTCTGAAATGTGTGTAGCCTTGTGTGAAGCATTGGATAGATGTAAACTTCCTTTCTTCATTCCGAGTGGAACCTTGCTGTCACCATCCGACCGGAGGAGACTGTCCCTCACTGGCATACTGCTCTGTCACCTATTGGGAAAATTATGAAAGTCATTCTCTGCCTCGGTGTGTTTGTGGTTGTCGTCTGGTCACCGAGAAGACTAACGATTGCTGACACTCCAGTCGATAGTTTTGAGAGATCTCATCCATTCTATCTGATGAAGCAGATTCCAAGCACTTCTATGCGATTTCTTCGCATTACTTCGACTACCTGAACAGCTTTCGCAAACTCGTACATCGGGCGTACACTTCACGTCCTCATTATAATTCCTGCTGTCATCAGGAGAAGAGAGATAGGCTGATTTACTTCCTGAAGGCTTCTAGCAGCCAGACTCATTTCTCTTTACTGAATCCAGCGAATACAGTGCATTTTTCAAATTTTTGTGTATTTTCACACATTGTTGGTGCAATAAATATTGCCCAGAAGTTTGATAGCTTTGCGATATAAAGTTGATAAAGTCACTCCAAAATTACACTCTCCAGACAGGCTAGGTACAGGCTAGGAAACTAGCACAACATTAATACAGGTGAGGCTAGAAATCCTAGTCTGTCACTGCACACAAATACCCACATGTGTTTCTCTTGCCACTGAAGATACTTTCTTACTCGCTTACAGATCGGTGGATGAAAATAAACGACAACACCATGAGTAAGACAATATACTATTTTAAATATTTAAAATATTGTGCACTTTTGTGAGGGGAAGGAGGAGGAGTAGCCTAATTAAACTGCCATAACAATTTCGCAACTATATTTGATTAACGAACAATACGAATGAGAAATTCATATCGAGGATTCAGTCAGAGGAGTAACTGAAATTCTAATCACAGGTGATTCTTCAAACATTGTGATGCTGGACACCATCTGGTGTTCATATGCCAGAGACATCAGTATTATTCATAATGATTTCGGAATGCCACATTCAGAATACTTGAACACTCACGACGCTTCCAATAGACGAAGGAATAAGAAACACTGTATCAGGACACTTTCAATGAAAAGAAGATGGAGAAAACTTTGACGTCACTCGGCGAAATGTGATGGTTGTTCACGCACAGCTACGTGGAGCAATGGCCGTTGGATCGTCCATCTCACAGGCATTAGGTGACATATTAATGGATTTTCGGCAGGAAAATGCACCTGAACCATTCATATCATCAATGAAATCTTGATAGAGGTGTGCAGATGACGCTTGAGTTATAATGAGAATGACTCATACTGACAAATTCGTCCCACACACAAACAACAGTCATGTAGACTCAGTGTGGAGATTCACTATGGAAATAGAGGATGAAATTGAAGAACAGCTTGTGCTAGCTTTACTACGAAGTACAAATTGTGACAGATGACAGCATAAAATTGACGACGTTTTAACTTCAAGAAACCTGCACATTCCGAGAGATTCCGTGATTATCTATCACCCAGCTGATCCACTCAGAGCAAATCGACGGTTGATACAAGTTCTTGCAGACAGAATGCTCAGACTTTCAACAACAATAGATAACCGAAGAGAAGAAATGACTGTCTTTTTGAAAGTGCTACTCGGAAGCAACAACTCAAAATAATTTATCCGAGATACCATGAAGATGCATAGAAGGAGGCTGAGAACAGATAATGACAAGAAGAAAGATGGTAAAACACGGCGACAGTACCATACGAAATGGCTTTACCAGAGTCGGTGTTGGACGAATCCTCAGAATATTGGGATTCATACTACGTTTAACCTAATGAATCCAACTAACCAGAGACAAAATAGGTCAACTAAATGTTCCAAAAGAAATGATGGAATAAATTAGCAATGTAATTTACAAAATGATATCGTGTTCGGCTCAGACGTCTAGATCATCGTTGAAAATAAGAGCGAATGGACATATACGACTGACTGAGTGTTATCCAACAAGGAAGCAAGTGTACAATAATTCAGAAGAAAATTCGTCCACAGCTGCACATGCAGAGAACGAAATCCACAACATTGATTGTGACGAGATTTGCATTCTGGAATCTAATATGAACAAATGAAAAGAGAGACTAATAACGACGGAGTCTGTATTACTCAGTGACGTCACGCTGGATACATGTGACAAGGCTGACTCGGCAGCACGACTGTCAGTGACCTGGAATATAATTCACGATACAGAAAACTGAGTGGACCGAATCTCGGCTGAGCACACACAAATGACTACAAATCACAAATGTGTGAATTGAGGCAAATATCAAAACAACAACTCATCATTGTATGCAAACTATCGACATACAACTACAATTAATCTGGTCTACTCCATAGTGCGCAGACGTTCAACTGACATGAAATAATATCACTTCACCAGCCGACACCATGTGCAGGAAATCGGCACGCATCGAAGTCAAGAAGGTGCTTTCAAGTGTCAAACAGTTGTTTTCTCAATATCTTCTGAAGAATATTGTGCGAAATTCGTTTCAATGTATTTCATACTGTACGTTCTGCGTAACTACACACAACAATTCTTTTGACAGAATACTTATTCCTTCTGAGAAATTCATCAACAGGTAAGCACATGTGCATTGAAATAATTTCAGTTACCTGACTTCATAATCCCTGGAAGTGGAATTTGGGAGACCAGCACCATTGTGTTCACTTGCTTTTCCCAACGTTTCCAAGGGGTACCTGCTTATCACGAATGCATTCTATCAATGAACACCAAGATATTATTCACGATTTGCCCATCAGTTAGTCAGTTGATTCGATATTAGTCAGAATGTTTCGTAACTGCCTAACTACAGGAACACAGAGTTGCATCCACTTGAGAAGGTATTTGTCGGTGAAACTGTGCACTGAACTTCAGTCGATCGCTGCGACAGAGATGCAGACGCATTCGCGAATAGTCCCCATCAAGCCATTAGAGGAAATAAAAGCAAGCACGTGGTTCAGGGAACAGTTTCCTTTCGGAGACGAATTGGCTCACTTAGCTCTACAGTGAAATTATTATCACAGAACTAGATAACGCATGTGCCGATATATTTGTGCATGCATCAGCTCAAATGTCACTGCAAATCACCTTCCGGCGGTTTCTCAACGTGACTAAAATCTTCATGACAAAAACGCAATGATACTTCCACTTCCTTTACAGATGAATGGAATGAACTGAATAGAATCGTATTTGAATGTGAGTGATTTGAAGTCTGGTTTAGAAATTTTCATCCAGTTATCTTCCTGATGTTCTATGATGGCATTTCTGACTTTCGATGTTGCGCTTGTGTGGGTAATTGTATTTATTTCAGTGAAGAATTCGCCACGAACCTGATCAGTGGATGAGTCACTGAATGAAAATATCAAGAGGCAAATGACGGATTTCTCCTGATTTGGGACCCGCCTCAGACGACTGCAACAACAGCAACAATATCATCAATTGCACCAAGGATCGAACACGCCTCGTCCACGATGCTGCTACTTAGGCCGAATTCAGAAACCTCTTGAATTCGAAAATTCTTACTCACGGATCCGAGACTGTCAGCAATCAATGCCATAGATGAGCATGCAGATTTCTGATGCCGCTGGCGTTCACTGATTCAGTTTGAAAAATTGGTGTTGTTGTTTTGAAACAGCACTTCAGAGATAATAAGCAGTAACATTGTCATCTCACGGTGAAATACAATTCGTTCACGAAACGGGATATGGCAGATTTTCCAAATATCTCCTAGATTCCATTAAACTAATCAACGTATTCATCTAAGACAATGTGCAATTTGTTCATTTCATTTCCACAGATATTCGAAAGAATAAGGCTTATGCACCGAAAGGTAAGCAAGAAGCAACCGAATTCATTATCTACTCGCTCGAGTAGTGAAAGTGTCTCGATTACACTATCTACCATCTCAGTATTCAAGGATACCAATTCATTGAGACGACAACACACAAGGCGGAAATAGAAAGTGTATTCGGTGGAATACAGCTGAGCTGTAAGACATGTAATACTTCGGTGGGACACAGACTGGTGTCATGCCAGTTATCCTTGGCGTTTTCTGCAGACTGAATTCTATCAGTCAAGTTTGCAATGTGGCCACCAACAAGCTGGGTGGATCCTCAGCACGTTGTGCTCAGAATTCTTGTTATCAGATGGTTGTAGGCAATTGACAGGAGGCCCTTCTTGGCTGGGGGTTTCTTGCTTGCTGGCTGACACTAGTCAGCAATGCAGTCCTGCAGGATGTCAGTCACGATTTCGAATAGCCGACTGACTCAGTGTCGACGTCTCTGACTGCAGGAGGCATGAGATCCTTGAGGATCGTAGATGCACCTTGTTGACTGGTGATTGCCAACAAGCAGGAGGCCTAGGTGAGTCAGGGCTTCCTTCAGATGAATCCATCAAAATATTTAATAATAGGAAATGTAATGGCAAACGGTTAATTCTGATTGGGATTCGAATGAGGCGAACTATGGATAGTCAAATGTTCTTTCAGACAAATAACTCACGAACACGCTTCGAATTTAACCACACGAATGTAGTTTACAGGAATGAGAATCAGTCGACACTAAGAAAGATTCAATTTGTGTTTGTGGAATCATAGTCTATACACTTTCGTAAGATGTTATCGTTCGGATAGGCAGAGACGTGTCTATCAGTTATTTGGAATGCTCGACACTTCAGTTTATGTAGTCATGAAAGAAGTTTACTGAGGCAGGCTGGTTGAAAGTAAAGGAAATATCGCAGTTTTACACGGTTTTCGCAATCAATGCTGACTACTTCGATCAAATCTGTGACGAATCATGTCTGCGAGTGCAACCAATGCCCTCTGTCCTAGGTTCGTTCTCACTTATGTGAAACATTTCACATTCCACAGCAATCAGATGTGATGTGCCATGATTGATTGACTGATCTCATCAAAACCCACACGTATCAGCCGATATTTATATTTCAAAATATCATGCTATCATTTCATTCTACGTAACGTAAATTTCATGTCACTGCTTTCAATGGCCTCTGACAAACACGTGACAACTCCTCTCCAATTGGTTTCATTCTTTTTAGATGATCCGAATGCAAGAGAAAAGCTTGCCAAAGCAGGTTTGTACATGTGGATTTTCTCCCTCTTCTTCTCCTTGTTCTGCTGCGTCAATGTTCATTATATCCTCCTGAATCTGTATTGTCTGTTAACATAACATGATCCACTTGTCAGTTCATCCACCAGTAGTTCATCGCCAAAACTGAAGATAACTTACTCCGACTACTCATGTTAACTCGACGCATTTCGATGTGGAGTATGTTAGTGCCAGCGATTCACTGACAGTCTACACCTACCCAGAATCTCCACTTGCCAAATAGCCACGGGTTTTGCATGGAATTAAGATCCAAATAAGATAGATACGGAAGCATGCATTCCGGCCAGCTTTGGCCAGCTTTCTGTGCCAATGAAATGGAGAAACAGATTTTCTGAAGGCTCTTTTACAAGGTAAAGATTCATTTGACCCTACACATCAAGAGAGTGATTGAATCCAATAGATGAATAGAAGTTTGTGTTGGCGTAATTTGTGATCTGGATAGGTTGTTAGGAAGGAGTCGATTGTCTCACCAGGCAGGATATTCAGCGTCGACTTTGCAGTTGAACCGTCCAGCTGACATGCCCATGAAATACAGTTATGTCCTTTCAGAATGCTTATGGAGAGCAAGCGCCAGCTAGTGTGACAGGTGTGTAACTATCCGCCTGACGCGGTGTGCATCTCTGTCAACTCTGGTGGTTGCAGAGATGACGTACGTTGGAATTCATGGAGCATTAGGTCAGGTGCTACTGGATTAGTGGTCTTCCAGCTCGCTTCATAACCGGAATGTGCCAGCTTCACACCTCTTCAGTGGATGTGTACCGCTGGAAAGTACAAAACGGGGCTGGTGATACATCTGTCAACAGTCACTGTTGGTTATGCAGTGCTTCTCTAACTGATGTGAACTCAAATTCACTCCTGTAACTTCCACAATACACTGTGAAAAAATCCAATACCAAACATTCCTATTAATTACTGCTCAATTTGTCTCTCCTTATCAACTGATGCAGATTTCCTGAACAAATTTATGAACAGTGAGCATCAATGTTTTATTACGTGATTTGTGATAGTTTGCATCTTTGAATATGAATATGTGGCCTGTAGAAGAGAGGGTGTCCACACACATGTAGACACGCGATGCATATCACGACATCGCTGGTCATCTGAACAAGTGTTCGATTGACCATTCAACACGTCATCAAAGATAACATCAGTACTGATACTCAATCAGCACTTTCCCATTGAACATCACTCACTGCAATCACTCAGCGCCATAACGCCAGTGAATCTTCTTGTTAATGCAGCATACTTAGACTAAGAATGTTTGCTTGATCATTTCTTCGTCAGAGGAAAGAAAAGTGGCAGCCTGAAGCAAACGTCAGCAGAAATCATCTCACACTATCATATTGCATTGCTTGTTGTCGAGATGAAATGCTGTCAATAGAAGGCGTAAAATCACTGAGTGGTTCGTCTGCATCATCGGAGAGAAACATCATGTGTAGTGCAGAGACGTGATACTCAATGAGTTGACGAATGCATGAATGAATGAATGAATGGCTGAATGATTGATTGATACGAGGAATAATGCACCTTGATAGAAATTCAAAAGATATGAGGTACATCAACCAGGTAGTTAGAAAAGCTTGAGGGTGACAAGAAGCGATAGGGAAATATCTCAACTGTGGTTGTTAGGATCTACTGTAACACTGTGGCGTGCACCAAATATTCATCAAGCTCATTCAACAGCTAGTCATGTGACAGGGGTATATATCAAATGATCTACGACGGAAAACTGGGTGAGGCGTCTGAAGTGAAGACAGCAGTAGGCTATTGGTGCCTGCTCACCATCACCAGTGACATTGCTGATTGCATTGGAGTCGACTGAGCATCAGATTTCACAGAGTGAGAATGCAGTGATATGCTGGAACACCGATAAGAAGACTCAAGAAGATGCGTACTTCGCGGATGATTTATGCCCAATGTGATAGTAAATCCAAAGACTTACAGGCGAATGTCGACAAACTGGCAGAAGAGAAAAGGAGGCATGGACAGGACTTGACCGGAACAACAGGCACCAGTCACCATCAGCCAGAGTAATTTGGCAGGATTTACTCGCTTCACTCATATAGGAGGCGTCACTCGAACTGCAGGCAGACAGAATGCATGAAGATGTGAATAGGAAGGGCAAGACAATCCTCCGTTACTCTGGAATCAGTTTGCGAATCTCCTGCACTCACCTGGCACAAGGAACAAGTTGCAGACCCTCAACACGAATGTGTAGTCTGTCAATTCTTCTACATGGATCAGAGACTTTATGTCTGAGTGACGCAGACTATTTCCAATAGACTACTTCAAACCTTTATCAGCAGTTCTCCCCTTCACTGGCTCCGTTCCGAAGACCATACGGCCAGCCTGAAAGAATTAGTAGCAAGAAACCATGAGAGGAAACCCACAAGTGAGAACTTATTTCTCAACAAATATTTCAAAGGGGATGGATATGTGACAGACACACTCTGGGAAGACTGTTGAATGACATCGCGTGGCAGGCTGAGACTCGCTTGGAACTCGAATTGGAAACAGTGAGTGAAGAGTGATTCTGAGGGTGACATGAAGGAGGGGCCGTGTGAGGAGGGGGTTAGAGACTATTAAAAATTTTGGGACCGGATGAAGAGGAACACAGAATATAGGACAGAATGCAGTTGTGCTCCTGAACCCATTCGTTTCACTCGGAAGCCTAGAGAGCCATAGTAAACGCAATTATATAACAGCTTGCAAAGATAATGCTGTCTGCATTCAGGCACTCGACAGCATTAGGTGCGGAGAGAAATAAACAGACTTCAGGTTGAATCTTGTCTTCGCCAAGAGAAGCGTGTATCATCCAACTTCAAAGTGCGAAGAAACCGATCGAATTCAGACACTCTTCACTGTATTCAAGCAACCGAAGAGAAGTATTCGATATTATGATGTGGGATAGTCAAACCACCTATATGTGGCAAGACAGCTGATAGACTCGATGGAAGGCGAAGCACCTAAATCAACGTCAAATATCCAGGCGAAATGCAATACGTGGGTTGAGGAAAAGACTTAGGAAAATGCCATGAACATACTACACTAGTGAGTGTAGGTTTACAAATATTTGATTGAAACCATCACATTTACATAGAGCTAATTCGTGTGTGAGTACATTAGCATTCTGAAAAAAAGTAGAGGTAAAATTAGCTAGGTTTACTGTTCACGCCATCAAAATGTTTCTTAATTGTGACGAATAATGAGAATTGTAACTAGAGTGGTGACGATTTGTAATTGTTGACAAGGGTTTCGTAATATGAAATAGGAAGTAAGTGGAGACATTTGTTCAAAAAATACAAAATATTATGGGTAAAAGGGGAAAATAAAGATTAGTCGAGAAGAAGATGTTACTAAGATGCAATACAAAATGGAAAACAAAACAAAGCCGTCGAACTTGGAATCATACCCAAAGTGAAGGGGAATTGTGGAGACGTTTCTTCTGTGTGCATAAGTCAATGTTTTCTATCCGAACCGCTTAAGCCTCAGCAATGCAAAGTGAACAGAAGCTTGATTTACTCTTTCTACCCATTACATAATGTATTTTTTGAACATGTGTCTCCTTTAACTTCCTACTTCATATTATGAAACCCCAGTCAACAATTACAAATCGTCACCACTCCAGTTACAATTCTCATTATTCGTCACAGTTAGGAAACATTTTGATGACGTGAACAGTAGCCTCAACTAATTTTCACTATATTTTGTTCGACAATCCCTATGTTCTCACACACAAAATGTTATATGTTAGTGCGACTGTACAGCCAAGTGAATGAATTCGTCGAAAAGAGACTCTACACTGAACTTCGTTGTTCTTATACTTCCAAATAAGTCGAGAAGTTAGTCACCTAAGTCTTCCTTATTAAAATAAATAATTTTGTCTGCTTCTTCCCACTATCAGAATTCGGAGACGACTTGTCAGGCCTTGCAAGTGAGTGTGAATCATAATTTCTCTCATGATAGCTACCTTCAACCATGTGAATCAGTATATTAACATCAATACTAAATCATTTCCTCATATTTGGCCAATAATTTCGTGGAATTAAGAAAACAAGGGTCACTTGCATCTTCCTCCTTTACTCCTTGTCAAAACCACTCCCTTATTTTCCATGGTTTTGTGAAATTTCATAAGATGCAGACGGCGCGTATGCTTTCGCACAGTCGAAAACCACACTCACAATCATATTGTTGACTGGATAATGCCGCAGACGGTGTGTCCACAAATACAGAAATACGTTGGACCGATAGGAAGACGGTAGAAGATCTGGACTTCGTGGACGACTAACGTCCGGTGTTCCATGGACTCAAGGACTTCCAATTGTAAGTCGACAATTTGTAAGGAGAAGCAGCAAATACAGCACTTCCAGTGGAGATACAGGTGGTGAAGGTAACTGAACAACAGGGAATTCTCTTCCGTTGCTTATTCAGTGCAGTGTCGCTTCAACTCTAAGCAGCACAAATGAGTTTGTGAAGGGCAGGATCAAAAAAGCGAGACAGATTTTCAGATTTCATTCTGAAATCAGTGTGGAAAGGCGCTGCACTCAGAATAAGGAAAACGATTCAGATTTCCAACACTGATGTCCAATCAGCGCATAATTCTGGTTGAGAGACTTAGCATGTGTATCAACAGAGGCATGTATAACCGAATTCACAGATTTCTTGGCAGCTGCCTTTACCGGACACTGATGACATCATGGTTAGAAAGGGTGAGAAACATGAAAATCTGCCTACACAGTTTGATTGGAACGATGTGTGCTTTCTTGTGACAAATGACAATGGACGGGCAGTTCGATTCACCAGTCAGGAGCGTTTTCACAGTCGAAGAGGTGGACAACCAGAAATGAATATTTTGAGTCGTCTACAGATTCAGAAAATTTATTCAGCTCAACAGGCTCCATTGCGATCAACTCTCCACTGTCCATGGAAAGTGTAGTCTATATTCACATGCATTCTCCTCACAGGTCTGTGTTATCAAACGACATCTCATAAATCACTGCAAGACAATTCAAACCTTCACCAGTTGACGCCGTACATAAACTTAGCTCTTTGTCAGCCGAAAGACTCAACAGGATAAGGAGATAAAATCAACGTCACCCACACAATAAATTTAAACAACCGCTAAAAACACTGCATTGACCAAAGTGGACGTCCCTTTCGTCTTCATATTCATGAACATAAACTAGTCGCTGCATACAGACAAACACAGACATCAATTTGACTGAGACGAAGTTCAAATATTAGACAGACGAAACACCAAGAATGCTGCAGAATTATTAGGAGCCTGCTTTTCCAGCGAATCGTCAATGAAATAACACAAACAATACGGAGGAAATATCACGCACAAAGGATGAAATTTCAAGTCAAGCAAACAATCAGTACAAATACAAGTAGCCTGGAGGGCGGTGAAAAACACACAAATCAACTAATCACATTGAAGGTGACCAGGAGAGGTGAGTGAAAATCTCATGGAGGAATCTGAAGCTCAATTGTAATTGAAGTACGCGTTGAAGATGTTGCTTCGTGTGGCAGCGAAAGCTTCGCAAATAAATCATCCAACTCAGATAACAAAACAACATCAAAATCATCAACCTGAGCTAGGCATCGTCTACATCATATTTTTACACCTATACGATAGAGACGATTTGTAGCTCAGGTGGATGATTTTGATGTGGTTGTGTTCTCTGAGCTGAATTGTTAATTTGCGAAGCTTTTCCTCACCCTACTAGGTCACATCTTCAGCACATTCTTCTACACCTATAAAAACATCTGTACCGTAAAGGAATCTCATTACTTACTATTCACGATTTATTTGTGTTCATGTTTGAATATTCGTGTATTGCTAACCTGATTTCGCACACTACAGGACATCCGAAAACAACAGAAACGCCGGTGGTGACTTGTAAGTTGAACTGCAAGTTTAACAACACCCTATTCCGACTTACAAATAAGCTTTCTACTCATGTGACACGCTCCTTGTAATTGTTGTCAGTGACCTGCCATCAACTTGAGCTTTCATTCATCCACGAACTTTCAGACTCCACTACAGGTGCAAGAAATCAATAGTGGATACGTGGGTTTCTGGTGAATCTACAACAAACGATCTGTTCATATGTAGCGACAGAAGGAGTTGTAGAATTCAATCTACATTCTGAGGTTTGAAATGTCACAATCAACACTGACAACGTGGATTGTGAGCCTTGCTCTCGTCTGTGAGTAAGTATTCTTTCTACTTGAAACACAGCCGAAGAATGTGAGATCATCATAATGATAATGACACCTGTCTCCCGTAGAAAAGCTTTGCACGATATGCAGAGTACACGGCATATTTTATTGTACTACAGGTTTTCTCCATTCATTGGTCTTCCATATGAAGTAGAGATCAATCGCATCTATAAATATTTGAAGGGCTGAAATAACTTGAGTCGAAGAGAATGTATTCAATCATGTTGGTTGCAAATTCAGGTGGGACGATTATTCAAGCTGGCCAACTAGGGGTGGAGCCGGATGGATATGTCAAATGCACAAGCATACTCAAACTGCATCACTGAGAGATCGTCATACTCGCCAGACAAGACAAAGCATGAAGTCGCGTCACATTTGCATGTACTTGTAGAATCACGCACGATCTTGTGATTGTGGCAGAGAATGCTTGCAATTTGATATCCTTTTATTTTTGATCTACCTCCATTTTCTCGCAAATATTTCAGCACCTGGCTCTTGGTTATTTCGTTCTCAGCATTTTCTTTCGACTAATCCTTTCTTGTGATTCAATTTTCAATAAGAATCGGAGGCATCTGTTGACACACTTGTGTCGTCTGTTGGTAATGCTTTAGGTTACCGGCCAAATGTTGACTCTTTTCGGAGCACCGACCCCCCACTTGTAGTGAAAATCAGAATCCTGTTCTGTATACTGGCCGAGTGCAGAAGATTTTGTTGCTGGGTTTAGGTTGATAAAGGCTTTAGATTATTGTAAACTTCCATTGTTCATTCCGAGTGGAACCTTGCTGTCACCATCCGACCGGAGGAGACTGTCCCTCACTGGCATACTGCTCTGTCACCTATTGGGTAAATTATGAATGTCGTTCTCTGCCTCAGTCTGTTTGTGGTTGTCGTCTGGTCACCGAGAAGACAAACGATTACTGACACTCCAGTCGATGGTGTTAAGGGACCGCATTCATTCTACCTGATGAAGCAGATTCCAAGCACTTCTATGCCGTTTCTTCGCATTACTTCGACTACCTGAACAGCTTTTGCAAACTCGTACATCGGGCGTACATTTCACGTCCTCATTATAATTCCTGCTGTCATCAGGAGAAGAGAGATAGGCTGATTCACTTCCTGAAGGCTTCTAACAGCCAGACTCATTTCTCTTTACCGAATCCAGCGAATACAGAGCTTTTTTCAAATTTTTGTGTATTTTCACACATTGTTGGTGCAATGAGTATTGCCTAGAAGCTTGATAGCTTTGCGATTTAAAGTCGATAAACTCACTCCGAAAATACACTCTCCAGACAGGCTAGGTACAGGCTAGAAAACTAGCACAACATTAATACAGGTGAGGCTAGAAATCCTAGTCTGTCACTGCACACAAATACCCACATGTGATTCTCTCGCCACTGAAGATACTTTCTTACTCGCTTACAGATCGGTGGATGAAAATAAACGACAGCACCATGAGTAAGACAATATACGATTTTAAATATTTAAAATATTGTGCACTTTTGTGAGGGGAAGGAGGAGGAGTAGCCTAGTTAAACTGCCATAACAATTTCGCAACTATATTTGACTAACGAACAATACGAATGAGAAATTCATATCGAGGAATCAGTCAGAGAAGTAACTGAAATTCTAATCACAGGTGATTCTTCAAACATTGTGATGCTGGACACCGTCTGGTGTTCATATTCCAGAGACGTCAGTATTATAGATATAATAGAGAAGATTTGTAGCTCAGGTGGATGATTTTGGTGTGGTTGTGTTCTCTGAGCTGGATGGTTTGGTTGCGAAACTTTCATTGCTCTACTGAGCAACATCTTCAGCGCATACTTCGATTTATTTGTGTTCATATTTGAATATTCGTGTATTGCTAACCTGATTTCGCACACTACAGGACATCCGAAAACAACAGAACCGCCAGTGATGACTTGTAAGTTGGCTAACAATTAAGCTGTTTAGTCGCATATCACACCGCCTGTAATTGTTGATACTGGCCTGCCATCATCTTGTGCTTTCATGCTCCTGCCTATTGTCAGACTGTACAGGTGCAATAATGCGTGGTTTTGTAATGATTCTGCAAGAAACCATCCGTTCATATGTAGCGACAGATGGATTTGTAGGATTCAATCTACATTCTGAGGTTTGAAATGTCACAGTCAATAATGACAACCTGGATTGTGAGCTAGCGTTTGTCTGTGAGGAGCTAATGCTACTGCTGGAGGAACACAGCCAAAGAATTTGAGGTCATCATCACCAAAATAATAATAAGAATAAGAATAAAAAATCTCTGCCGTGGAAAAGCACTGCATGTTACACAGAGTTCACAAAGTATTTGTTTGCCATATACTTCCAACTCACTCATCGCTCTTCCATATGAGGTATAGACTGATCAGCATAGCGCATTTTCTTCGCCTTCCCGAAAAGTGATATACGGTACTTGACAACCCAGTTAAAACGTGCGTGAGCACATTTCGATATTCAGGGAAATAACGATTGAATAGGTAAATTAATTTGAATCACAGAGAATGTGTTACACCATGTTGCATTCACATTCAGGTATGACAAGTTTTCAAGCTGGTCACCAAAAACCGCAGGATAGATATGTCAAATACACAAGCATCCTCAAGCTGCGTCATTGAGAGAATGGCATACTCGTCAGAAAAGACCAAGCATGGAGTCAACTCACATTTGCAGAGAATGATTGCAATGTGATATGTCTGAAGGCTTCAGATAGACACTGCTTTACCTACTGCTCAATCTGTTATTTCAGCTACATCCTCACTACCTGGATGCTGAGGAACGGGTTTACAACTTCATTCAGATCGTCTTCATACTTCACCACGAAATGTGCCTTTCCAGTGTAAGAGGTTTGTGACTCAAATACACAGAAATGATTGATTGCACACATTGGATTCATTTGAAACCTATTCATCGTATGATGGAGCCTACTCTGCAACTGCACACAAACAGCCACATGTATTTCTCTTGTCACTGATGACACTTTCTTACTTGTTTACAGATTCGTGGATGACTGTCGGTAACGATCACGAAAGTAAGCGTATACAGTATTTTAAATATTGTGCACCCATTATAGGGGAAGGAGCAGTAGCCTAATTAAATTGATACAACACTTTTTTCGCTACTTTGATTGAGGAAGATCATGCATGAGAAATTCTTATCGAGGATTTAGTCGGCTGAGTAAGCAGAATTCAAATCACAGGTGAATCCACAAACATTGTGAAGTTTTTCGCCATCTGGTGTTCATTGGCCAGAGGCGTCAGTGTTGTTCATGATGATTTCGGAATGGCTGACTCAGAATACCTGGACACCCACGACGTTTCCAATAGACGAATGAATCAGAAACACTGTCTCTGGACACTTTGAATGAAAAGAAGATGGAGAAAACTTTGACGTTGATCGGCAAAATCTGTAAGGTGTTCACGAGGAACAAAATGAAGCATTGTCCATCGGATCACCGATCTCATCGATAATAGCCGACATATTCGTGGATTTTAGGGAGGAAAATCCACCTGAACAGTACAAACCATCAACTGAGATGTGCAGATAACAGATGAGTAATAGGAAGAAAGAATGATACTGAGAGGATCGACTCACACATAAACAGTAGTCATGTAGACTCAGTATGGAAATTCACTATAGAAATAGAGGACGAAATTGAGCGACTGCCTGTGCTAGCTGGACTGCACAGCACAAAATCCAACAGATGACAGCGTAAGAATGGCGATATAACTAGAGGAGATTCCGTGGTTATTTTTCACTCAGCTCATCCACTCACAGTAAAAGGAGGGTTGACATACGGTCTTGCAGACAGAATGCGCAGACCTACCACAACACTAGATCACCGACGAAGAGAAATAATTGTCTTATTGAAAATGCGACTGGAAAACAATCACTTAAAGAATTTATCCGAGGTGCTTTGAAATAGCATAGATGGAACGTAGAAGCAGATCATGATATGAAAGAGGATGGTGAAAGACGGTGACAACACCAAGCCAAAAGTGTTACTCAGAGGTTGAGTTCAAAGAAACGACAAAAATATCAGGATTTGTGGCACGTTTAACACAGCGAATCCAACTACCCAGAGATAAAATGAATCAACTGAAGGATCCACTAATAATTATGGAGTAAATTAGTGATGTAATTTACAAAATGATATCGTGTGCTGAATGTCCGACTAAATATGCGGTCAAACAACTAGATCATCGTTGAAAATAAAAGTGAATGAACATAAACTGTTGAATAAGGCTTATACCCAAAAGAACTCGAGTGGAAAAATTCGGAAGAAAATTCGTCCATAGCTGCACATGCAGGCTACGAAATCCACAACATTGATTGCGACACTACTCTCATTCTGCCTTCTAATATGAACAAATGGAAGAAGAAACTGATAACAACGGAATCCATATTCAGGCTGGTCACCAGCTGACACCATGTGCAGGAAACCAGCATGCGTCGAAGTCAAGGAGGTGCTTTCAAGTGCCGAACAGTTGTTAACTCAATATATTCTGACGAACATGCGAATTTTATTCAAATGTATTTCATTTTGTATGTCCTGAGTAACTAAACACAACAATTCTCTTCACAGAATACTCACATTTTCTGAGGAATTTATCTAGAGGTAAGCCTATTTGATATCCAATGATTTCAGTCACTCGACTTCATAATCACTGGAAGTGGAATTATCGAAACCAGCATCAATATGTTCATTTGTTTTTCCCAACCTTCCGTTTGAGTCACTGATTATGACGAATGCTTTGTTATATCAATCACCACCAAGACATTATTCTCGATTCGCCTATCCACTAGGCAGTGAAAAGGAGTATTTCATCATACTCCCTCCTGTCTTCGACAGTTGATTCAATCATAGTCGGAATGTGTTTGTGACTGTCTGACCACAGGAACACAGAGTAACGTGGAAGTCATCCACTCGTGGAAGTATTTTTCAGTTAAACCACTCGCCGACCTTCAGTCGACCCTTGAGACTGACTCGCAGATGCATTCATGAGTAACACTCATCCAGACACTAGTGAACACAAAAACCACGTAGTTCATCGAAGGGTCTCACTTCGGTGGCTGATTCATTCATTCGCATTATATCTAATGATTGTTGTACGCGTGTGTGTGTGAGTATTTTTGTGCGTGTACATTGTGTTTGTGAGAGAAACAAGATTAAACATTAGTCAGGGTTATTGTTCACGACATCACAATACTTCAAACATTTGATGAGTAATGAAGTTGTGACTAGTGGGCTCACGATTTATTGGAGGGTGATGGTTGTAAGTTGCGGATGCATCACAGAAGTTGGACAAGTGTATTACAGCTACTTAATGAGGTGGATAATTTAATGAGTGACTTGTGATCTGGATGCACATGGAAACGAGGGAGAATATTGGATTGCGTAAAAGAATTTCTAGAGAAATGCAAGAGTTTCAGGGGATCAGAAAGACAAGTTCACAAATCACAAGTCAGCAGAAATCAACTCCTTTGTCACCATGAAAGTAGGAATGGTTGGGTGATTTCCTCGTGTGTGAAAGACTAAGATATCAGCAGTACTAAGGAGACGAAACGGTATTGCCTTATGCAGGTTTTTCTTTGTCCTGTAAATTACTTTGAAGCAGGAGGCGTTTGTTCAAATGGAATGGGCAGTGTTGATGAGGTGTTCGATAATCACACCGCTCGCAGATCCAGTACAACATATCTACAGCCATTCTGGATAGTAGTTCTCAAACACCAAGTATAACACTTCTCATACACACAATTCTTCGTGCAAATATCAGTTCACCTGTCACTGCTGAGCACGATACACCGCTTGCTCGACGCGAATACTTCATACTTGCAGTCTAACTCGAAATTCGTCTCTTTCTTTTTACAGCTGAACGCATTGAACTAATGAAAATCGTTGTTGGATGTGAGCAAATCTAAGTTTTATTGAGAATTTTATCGAGTTATCTGCTTCGGTTACTGTGGTGGCATATCTTACCTTAGATGCTGAGCTTTTGAGGGTGACTATATTTATTTCAGTGAAGAAGTCTCCACCAACGCGAATCTGTGGATGGAATCGTCAGGCGCCAGATGACTGTGTTCTCCTGACTTGGGACCTCTCTCAGTCCACTGGGATCACAGCAGCAACACCAACCACACCAAAGATAGAACACGCCTCGTCCACCACACAGGGACTCAGACACGAATCCAACAACCACTTGAATGCAGACTTTCTTCCTCAAGGATCTAGGACTGTCTGCAATCGATGGTTTGAGTGAGTATGCAGGTTTTGATGACGTTGGCATTCACTGACTTCATCTGTAAAATTGGTGTTGTTTGTTAACAGCATTTGACTAATAATACGCATTGACATTGACATCACATGTTGACATGCAGTTCCTTCACAAATGTGATGAAATGTCCAAGAACATCCACGTTTTTCAGATATCTCTTTCATATCATTCATCTTATAAACGCATTTATCTAAATCTATGTGTGTTTGTCTAATTCATTTGCACAGATATTCGAATGAATAAAACTTATGTTGTAAAAAGTAAGCAAGAAACCACAGACTTCTCTGGGCACATGCTCGAGTACCAATAGTGTCTACATTACGTCATTTATATAAAGGAAATTTTACATGTATAATGATGAGTACTACGCACCGTCTCAGTTTTCGATGATACAAAGTTTTCAGTACAACGACGCACAAGGCGAAAATGAAAGATGTATTGTGTGGAATGCAGTTGAGTTATGAGACATGTAATACTTCGATTGGACACAGACTGGTGTCATGCCTTTAATACCTGGCGCTTGCTGCAGACTGAATTCTATCAGTCAAGTTTGCAATGTGGCCACCAACAAGCTAGGTGGATCTCCAGCATGGTTTACTCAGAATTCGTGTTATCAGATGGTTGTAGGCAATTGACAGGAGGCCACTCCCGGCT